GCTGCGCCGGGCGGGAGAAAAGGGGGGCCGCCGCGGTGGGCTTGGTCCCGCCGCTCTGGGCCGGGGGTCCTGCTCCGGGGGAGCTGTTCCCGCTGGCCATCCCGACCCAGGGCTCCGGGGTCCAGACCGGGGCCGCCAAGCGAACTCTGTACGGCGGGGGGTGGGGGAGGGAGAAGCCCCTCCCCGCGGGGAGACCCCCCCGGCGCGTGACGTCACACCCGGGAGGGGGAGGGGGCAAGGGATCCCTCGCGGGTTGGGATGTAAATCAGAGCCTGCCCCCTGTGCTGGACTACAGTTTCCTCCATAGAAGTGATGAGAGTTGTAGTCCAATACCCATGTAGGGTTGGGGGGGGCCTGGGAGAAAGATCTTCCTTTATATTATTTGCCTTCCAACTAAAGAGCCTGCGTCCTGGGGCCTGCGTGGAAAGGTAGACTGCTCCCGCCCAGGGAGGCTCAACCACAGGCACTGCAGGGAGCAGCCCCGTGAATGCGACTGGAGGGTCCGGTCGGGCTCCGTCTTCCGCAGGGCCAAAGCCTCACCCCTCGCCCTGGCCCAGCCCGCAGGGAGGGTCGTCCAGCCACCCTCTTGGGGATTGGCAATCCAACACCCCCTTCTCTCCCCCCCTCCCCAGGAGCCCCATGGTGACGGGCACCTCCGTCCTGGGGCTGAAGTTCGACGGCGGGGTGATCATCGCCGCCGACACGCTGGGCTCCTACGGGTCACTGGCCCGATTCCGCAACCTCTCCAGGATCATGAAGGTCAACGACAGCACCGTCCTGGGCTCCTCCGGGGACTATGCGGACTTCCAGTACCTCAAGCAGGTCCTGGAGCAGATGGTGTAAGTCGCCCGGCTGCCCCGCGGGCGTTTGGTCCTCGGCCAGCTTCTGCCCCCGAGCGCTCCGATCGGAGGGCGAAAGCCGCGGAGGGACGTTCGCCAGTACCAGCCAGCTGTCTCGTTGGCCGCCTGCTTTGACCTCCCTGCTGACGGCCCTTTTCACGGGGCTGCCTTCTCCCCGCTGGGGGGTGCTCAGAAGCTGCGGCCCTCGCGACGTGCCCGGGGGGCGAGAGGGCCCGATTCTCGGCTGGCCCATCTGTGCCTGCACCAGCAGAATGGCTCGAGGGAGCCGTGTCTGATGGGCTTCTGCGCTTTGCAGGATTGACGAGGACCTTTTGGGCGACGGCCACAGTTACAGCCCGAAGGCCATTCACTCTTGGCTGACCCGAGTCATGTACAACCACCGCTCCAAGATGAATCCTCTCTGGAACACGGTCGTGATCGGTGGCTATTCGCACGGGGAAGGGTAAGGCCGGAACAGAGGGAGGGAAAGGGCTGAGGAACGGTGCCGTGGCCGATTCACAAGTAACGTTTCGCCAAGTCCCATTTGCAGAGCGCTGGGTAACTTTGCATTCTCGTTGCTTTCTTGACGCTGCATTCTCCAGCTGCCAATAATTCAGTTTTTGCCTTCTGCTCCTCCTCCACACCGTACTTTTCAGTGGACAGCACGTGGGCTTCAGCCACAGCAAGCCTTTGGAGCCACGTAGGGCATTTGGGGACACCAGCTGACATGGCGCTGCCCCCCTCAATCTCTCCCCTCTCAGTTTCTTAGGTTACGTCGACATGCTGGGAGTGGCGTACGAAGCTCCTTCGTTGGCAACCGGATATGGGTCTTACGTGGCGCAGGTAGGTGGCATGGACAGAAGGGGGTGCAGATTCGTCTGTGTTTTTGGTCCAGCAAGGCTGGGGCCTTTGGCCTGAGCTGGGTTCTCTGATCACGCTAAATTATCATCTTTCGGGATTAGTGCCCTGCCTCGCAGATTTCGGCCGTCCTCATTTTGCAACGGTGCATCGCAGCTTTGGGTGCTGTGCTGTGGCTCATCCAGCAGACCCAGTTAAGGCAGAGGTGGCTTCGAGGGATCCATACCCAACTTCTCTCTCACCGTGGGTGACCGCGCAACTCAGCATGCTCCCTTTTTTTCGCCCCGTTGCAGCCACTCATGAGGGACGCCCTGGAGAAGACACCCGTCCTCTCTCAGCAGGCGGCTAGAGCACTCATTGAGCGTTGCATGAGGATCCTCTACTACAGGGACGCCCGCTCGTTCAACCGGGTAAGGCCGTGCGGGCTGACCCACCAGCCCAGACCCTAGGTCAGGAATGGCGTGTCGGCATGCCCCTTTGAGGGCTGACACCTTTGAGACAAAGACCCCCAGGAGGGGCCTGACCATCTGCTCTCCCTCCTCAGTATGAGATCACCACCGTAACCGAGAAAGGCGTGGAAGTGGAAGGGCCCCTGTCCTTGGAGACCAACTGGGACATCGCTCACCTCGTCAGGTAAGGGAGCATCCCCTCTGCACAGAGTTACGAAAGGATCCGCGGGAGCCATTAGCCTTCTAGAGGTTTTCTCTCTGCACGTGCAGCCGTGGCAGCAGAACCAGGTCCTGTTCTGGCAACTCCGTCACCAGGGACCCCAAGCCCCAATGACAGCCCTACCTTACTACCTTGGGTTTTAAAAAATGATTTATTTCCGTGACGGTCTTTTTTCGCACGTTTCGCAACATTTGCCTGGCTGCTAATTTGGCGGTCTTTTTTCCTTGCAGCGGCTTTGAATGAAATTGAAGACGTCCTAGGCCAGTTTTGTATTTGTTGAAGACAGAGCCCCAAAGAAAGCCCTTGTTATACTATACTGCAGAAGCCAGCCTTTAATAAAAATGGTTGACTGCCTTCTACAACTCTTCTGTGTGAAAAAATCTCTGGCGGTTTCCACGAGGAACAGTTTCAGAAGTTTTCTGTTGACCTTTATGGTGAACGAGTTCCTAGGCTCTATAATCGACCATCCTTCAACCTTCCAAATATGCTGGGCTACAACTCCCATAATCCCCAGCCGGCACAGCTAGAGTTCCAAACCAGCCTAGTGTTTAGAACGGTTTTGGTTTGTCACACTGGCACATGAAAAAATGTGTTTCCTATCTTTTTGAAGTGTTTCCTGTACAAGGATTTTCTACGTAGCGACGCCCAGTGCACCATGGATTCTAGCCTAGCTGTTTTGATGTCCTTGTTTTCTACATGGGGGGGAAGGGGGGGCTGTTGAAACATGCCCTGCCCCGCCAAACTACCATTCTGGGGATTGGCAATTGTGCTTGCTTTTTTCAAAAACCAGAATCTAAGGGATATTTAAATAGGAGCTGCAGTGACCACACTAAGCCAGCAGAGGGCAGCAGCTTCGATTCCCATGGGTAGAGCCCATCCAATCTAATTACCTCCCTGAGCCACTAGAGGGCAGCATTTGGAAGGCCGACGGAATCCAGGACTCGGAAGAGGAAATGGGAGGGAAGGAGGGGTTGTAACACCCTGGGTGCTTATGCGCAGGTGATCCGGTGCTTTCCTGCTTACCATCTGCTTCAGTTTCACAGCTGAGTCCCAGCAATCCAGCTCTCCCATCGTCCTCTGCTGCTTCAGGGGCTCTTAGAAAAGTCTACCTGCAGGGGGATGAATTCACAATCACAGAGGGAACTCCTAAGCTTAGGGAGCAGCGAGGAGAGGGAACAAGAAACTAGTGTTACCTTGCACGGATCTGAGGGAGGGGCACAAGGTCTTGGGAGGCCACAGGTCTCTCTAGGCGTTTCTAGAGATCCGGGTCACGAGTCTTAAACCAAGCTTTGCTGAACAGAGGAAACCAGAATGAATTCCCAGGCTGCGCTAAGCCCAATTTGTGAACCTGGCTACGGTTCACACCATTAGTTCTATCTCTCGCTGCCAAACTCGTTTTTAAGATTCTCTGTAATGAAAACACGTGTTTATAAATCCATTTCCCTGGCTTTATTAAATGTTCCACATATGTACATTTTAAAGATGAACCATTTACAGGTCAGCCCACCCTACTTCCTGCTTCCCTTGAGTTTGGCTTTTGGGAGTTGGGGTGGGGGGAAGGTATGGGAGAATTCTTTTTTTCAACCTCAAAGGAGAAACAGAAAAGGTGTACAGGGTGGGAGGGTGGGTGGTCGGTTTTTTTTTTCTATGTCAAAATGTTTTCATTATTTAGACCATAATACGTTACAATTTAAAAAACTCTCAAACATGCAAACAGTAGAAAAACATCTCTCTCTTTTTTTTTCGTCTCTGTTTTTATGCTGGCAGTGAAAAATAAAACAGGAATTTTCCCTCATTTTTGTGCATGTCACAGTTGGGTTCAATTGCAGCACTAAATTCGGGGAACGTAGTGTCTTGACGTCTTCGGAGAAAGCAGGCTTCAGTAGCTCGCGATCGTTTTAAAAAGGCAATGTCAGTGGTCCGTTAGAGAATCTGTTTGCGATCAGCCGCCGGAGAAAGGTTCTCCCAGTGGGGCACGACCTGCCACTGTGTTCTTTCTAGCGATTCAAAGGAACAGATAAAAGTGATGGTTTCACCACTGGGGACAGAAAACTTTTTGCATCAACTGCTATGCAATCGGAGGAATTTTCTACAAGTGGATTTCTGTTCAACCCTTACGGTGCTTCCAAGTTCGTAGAGCGATCTGCTGGCGACGAAAACGTAAGGGATTTGCCCCTCCCTCTCCTAAACAACAATGCCTGCATTTAATTGCTGTTCTCTTCTTGTTTCAATAAAGCAATCTCAATTTTTTGTGGGCAGCTATAGGACGTTTCAAATGTTAAAGTAATTTCTCATAGCTAAAAAAAAAAAAAGTTACCCCAGAAATCTACATTTCCAGGTCCGAATGTTACAGAAAAATAATCTGCTACGACAAAAAGTGAGATTGAGAAATCATCCGTCAGCTACATATCAGTTTTCCTTGTCTTCCCAAAAAAAAAAAGTCACATTGATAATGTGGTATAATTAAAAACTTTTTTGCACAGTATAAAACAAAAAATCCAACAAAATAAAAACCCAGAAACTATAATACAGTGAGGTAAAGGAAATGCAAAAACAAATAATAATAATAAATCCACCCACAATATATCTTCAGGAAATGCCACAACAGTGATTTAAGGAAAAAAAGCACATTTTTTTTTTTGTATTTAGAAACCGAACAGCATACATGGCTATCATTAGTCTGTGTGTTCACCTACTTCTTCTCTCCTATACCCACAAATCCACAGGGAAGTAGAAAAACTGTCTCTTCCGACAATGAATTAAAAAAAGAGAGCAATCCATCTCTTTTTTCCTTCGGCGCTCACACTTCCATCAGCTCCAGATCTGCGTCCTCAAAGCCATAGAAGGACTCTGTCTCGCTTTCCCCCTCAAAGAGCTGGTGCAGGATCTCGGGGTTGGCAGACTCCTCCGCAGGCCCTCCCTCACGGTCGGCCTCCTCGTCCTGCAGTTCGTTGTTGAGTTTCAGCTGCTCCTCCAGCGAAGCAATGAGCTCCTCCTGCATGTCCGCGTTGCGGGTGGGCGTGTTGGCCGTGCCGTCGGGGCCGGGCAGGACGCTGGCCACCAGGAATGATTGCTGCACCAGTTCAGGGCAGTCGCTAATGACCTCAAGGGCCTCGGCCAGCCAACACAGGACGAGCTGCAGGAGAATGTCCGAGTCGCAAGTCGAGTCTGCCATCTCCTTGGCCTGCTCTTTCCACTTTTTGCGCACAAAGTTTTTCACAGTTCTTTTGATACAAACGTCCAATGGTTGGATTTTCGCGCTGCAGCCGGCCGGGACAACGGCTGGCAAGGTGCTGGAGGAGCTCAGCATAGACAGGACTTCTTCAGAAAGGTGCGTCCGATGGCAGTCCAGAACCAGCATCCCTTTGCTGTTTTGGTTCTCGATGTGCTTGTGCCACACTTTGGAGGACCAAACCTCCATGATCTCGTCGTCGCTGTAGCCGCTCTCCTTCACCTCCAGCAGGATCGTCTCCGGCACGTTGGCGGCCTGCTCCACACGGCCTCTGTAGAAGACGACGGTGGGCAGGACGCTCCCGTCGGCCAAAATGGCCAGGACGACATCGCACCAGGGCTCCCCGGTCCCCACTGTCTGCAAGGCGTTCTCTTTCCGGTCATCGCTGCAGAGCACCTCTGTGTCCAGGAAGAGGGAGATCTCATCGATGGCAGCAATCATGGAGAGGGGCAGGTCCTGGGTGTGGATCTGTCCCTGCACAAACTCAATGAAGCAGCTGGCGTTCTCCTCCACATCTTTGGGGAGGGGGTGAGCCACCGCCCGGCGGTTGTGCGTGCTGAGGTTGTGCCGCAGCATGAACCGGACCGCCCACTCGTAGGAGATCTTGAAGCCCCCCTCCAGAGACCGCCCAATCTTGGTAGCCTTCTGAAAGAGGGTCTCCTCGTTGACCGGCAACTGCTGCTCACGCTGCGTGAGAACCCACTCAGCCAGCTTCTCCTCCGCTTCCAAGCTCAAGTACTTGCCCTCAGACAGAGAGGCCACGTTTTCCTCCTGGAAGGCCTGGAAGCGCCTCAGCCAGCGGCGGATCCGCCGTGGCGGGTTCTTAAAGTGCTCTGCCGCCTGTTCGGTGTTACAGCACAAAGCAAAGAGAACCACCCGGAGTTTCTTCACGGAGAGCTGCTCTTTTCGGCTGGCGGGCTCAGGCACCTCCTTTGCCAACGGTTCCTCTTCACGGCTGTCGACATTCAAGCACTCGTTCTCCTGGACCGCTGCAGGAGGTCTTCCGCTAGCCTCAGGGGTCGCCTCAGGCACTGCCCCTGGCACCTCCTTGGCCTTCTCCTCCTCAAGCAGAGGAGACGGCGTGTTCACAGTGGTGGGTTCGCTGGGGGAGCAGGTGAAGACTGACACTTTCGTGCCTCGTTCGAAAGGCTGAGCAGGCCTGAAGCCAAGGAAAGAGAGGGACGTGAAGCATCTCCCGCAGGAAGGAGAGGCAGGAGAACAAAATGTATCCAAACAGAGATGGGCGACAGCTTACCTTGAGTGCGAACTCCAGGCAGGACCTGTGACAACCAGAAAGGAGAAGTTCGGCTTACGACAGGAAATGCATCCAGGCTGGACAGCCAGCAAAGCTGGAGAGCAGGTGTCCCCAGAAGCTTTTAGCATGGGGCTGACCCAAAGTTCCTTCCCCCACCACTGGCTGCCCTCTCCTCAGTAAGTCAACTGCTTGTTAAGCCAGTCAATGGGGTGTCAGTGGGGTCAGCTTCCCACTTGTTCCCCAGTCTCATTATCACTGGGCTCCCTGCCTCCCTTTCTGAGGCTGCAGACACAGCCTGTGCCAGCCTAAAGCCAGAAAAGCCCCTGGAGGCAGAGGGAGAGGGGACCAGGGTGTTTCTTACCTCGTAGAATGACGTTGCTGAATTCGTGAGATGGGTTGAAGACAAGGTGCTTAGCCATGGCATCGCCCTCCGATGTTGCAAAGAGACAAGCGGAGCAGGCCAACCGGACTCCGCTGGTGAGAAAACCGAAAAGAAGCGTCACTCTGGTGTCAGAGTTGCTACCTAGAATCCCTCACCCTCCCCATAAGCCCCGGGATGCTGTTGTTTCACTGGGAAAGGCAATTTACTGTGAGGGCCGCCCCCGCTCCCCTCTCAGGGCCACAATCTTCAGGGTTCCCGGCGGAGAAGACGCAGCTATCAAAAGGACTTTCGATCCCCAAGTTTGGAGGGGTGCGGCCTTACCAAGCAGTGTAGTTTTTGAACAAGGCCAAGTATTTCGGACTTTTGCGAGGAACGTGGTTGCTATAAAAAACAGAGCAGAGAGAGAGGAATGCAGCACTTATTACAGAACCCCAGCCTGGCCCAAGGCAGAACCAGCGACGTTCATCTGCCATGAGCCATATACAGAGAAGAGAGGCTCCTGCTTCTCCTCTTACAGCAAGAAAAGTGCCTGAGTGCCAAAGGGGAAAGGACATTCGTCATGGGGCTCCCAAGAGCAAGGAGCCTTTTCCCAAGAGCAAGGAGCAAATGCAGAAAAAGCCTGCATTTGATAGGCCAGGGGACCAGCTCCAGGGGCCAAGAATCTCCCTCCCCATCTATCCCTCAAGTTCCTTCAGCTCTCCATCCACGTAGTGTGGAGATGGGAGCGTTAAGAGCACTCTGCTTGATCCTGGCACCGGACGGAGCCTCTCTGCTCCTGTGGAACAGCAGCCTAGACACAGGGCCTCGCCTGGTGGCACTCACTTGATCATGTGGTTGGCGTAAGCGCGAGAGCAGCAGGTGCTGTAACGGCATAGTGAACAGTGGACGTAGGTGGGGAAGTGGTTAGGAAAGTCTGGGATCTCGAAACTGCACTCCAGGCACGTCTGCCTGCCGAGAACACTCCTGCCGAGAGGAAGGGAGAGCCAAATCAGAGCCGTGTGGTGGCGGGGTCCCAACAAGGCTGCAGTAAGGTGTGGGGATGAAATATTATCCAGTGCAGAGGCAAAAGTCTTTCTGCTACCTCCGTAGCTCTGCATGTTTCCAGAGCAAACATTAAATTGAAAACAGTGCGGAGAGTCACAGAGGACCTCTGGGCAAGAACGGTTCCCAACAGCGAAATGCCCCAGTGCCTGGCATTCGAGCACGCAACCAAGGCGGCTTCCTCTCAGCCCCACCAAAAGGCGCAGGGCATCTCTTAGCCTGCCTACCCCCTTCTCTGGCTGAACACTCACGCCCGCCCCTAGGGAAGCTTTCTTATTCTGACCCTGAGACCACACACAGTTACTGCTCTGGAGTAGGACCCGGTGGCCAGAAATGTCTTTCTAAGGAACGTGTTAGTTTGAAACTTGGTAAGAAGCTCTGACATTTTCCTGACAGCTTTCTTCTGGATGCTCCTCTGGAAAGGCGGGTACGGGAAGTTAGGCTGGGGATCTGAAGAAGCCGACAGCAAGGCAGCGTCTTGTAGAAGGCCCGGAGGCATGTCATTCGCACAGAGGGGCAATGTCCGCGGCTGTCCTCGGGAGGCCCGGATGGTCACCTGCAGCCCCAAGGAAGGCAGCCACAATAGTGAGAATAATCCCACCCTTGCCAGGATCAGAACTCTGCTTCTGCTCCCCAGCAAGAAAGTAAAGGCAGGGACAAGGACTGCTTCGCTAATTTTCTGCATGCAATCTGTTTCCCCCTCTTGCTGTGCCAGTCTGGAACAGCACGACGCCAGACAGGGTGACCGCTGGGCAGGAGGGAGAAACACCTCGGCACCACGCAAGCGAGCCCAAGCAGGCCTCTCGTCCTCAGCCATTTCTACCAGGCTCCAACCCCACAAGCCCACCCCACGGCTGGCTGTACCTTGGTGCCCGGCTTCAGCCCTTCCAGCTGCTTGGGTTTGCGGAAGGTTTTGTGGTGCTGCAGCTTGTGTTCAATCTTGTCCTTGGCAAAGAGGAACTGCAGGCGACATTTGTTGCAGTGGTACACGCTCTTTTTCTGCAGGGAACAAGGGAAGCCCCAGCGCTGAGACTGCTGAAGGACGGGCCTTCTCTCCTGGTGGAGGCCAGCCCGCCAGGGAAGCCTCCATGCTGACATGCCGAAGAAGCCCTGGTGGTGGGGAGCGACTCACCTGGTGCCTCATGAAATGCTGCTGGAAGGCATTGCCGTTCTTGAAGACCTTGAGGCAATATGGACAGAGGAGGTGACGGGTGTCCTCGTGCACCATCCGGAAATGGGCATCTACTTCGGAGTAGAGCGACGAACGGTACTGGCAAACCTGGCGAGAACCATCCCCACAGAACTATTAAAAGGGTTCAGTCTCCAGAGTGGGTCAGAAACTGCCTTTCCTGGGAGGCCCACCGGGGGCCCACCTGCCTTTCTAAGGTACTCAGGCAAGGAGGTTTGGATCCTCCCAGGTTTTTGAAATTATTTTCCTTTGGG